TTCTAGTCTATGCTAGAAGTTAAGCTTCCTATCTCTTCTAATCTTAGAGATACAAGTAGCATAAAATTCATAAGAATTCTTCAAATTATTTTTACGAAACAGCACAAATGAAAAAACTCCTATGTTACCTATATCTTTGTGACTATAATAGGTAGAAAGCTTAAAGTCTAGCGTGTAAGGAAAGTTAGCAGCCGATTCGAGTATTTTCCACGACGATTCGCCTGAGTACTTAAGCCACTCGTGAGTCATACGTCAATTGACGGAGACTTTCATGCTCTATCCAATGGCATATAAATTATTTCGATAAAAGTCTCCCACAACCGAGTGGGTTCCTGGAAAGTCTCAAAAATAGGGTTTTCGCAAGTATTTCCTCTGACGATTTGCATAGAAGCTTAAGTCACTGACAAAACATATACCATTCGACGCAGAATTTCAAGCTCTATCAAATGCTGTACAATTTGCACAGCTAACCATCAATCATAAAGTGTTTCGACCCTGAAAACCTTGAGAAACTACGAAATGCTGGAATTTCTACCCATTAATTCTTGTGACGGTTTGTTCAGGTACTTGAACGATCGATGATACTTGCAAGATTCGATTCAGAATTTCGGGCAGTATCGATTGGCGTATATATCGTATGACTGAACGCAAATGAGAGTCCACTTCGAAGGTCAACCGATGAAAAGTCAGGAAGGTTGGCATTTCTCCCTAATAATTCTCGTGGGGATTCGTTGTGATATATGAGCTGCTGAGGAAACGCATTTCTTTCGATGCAGAGGTCGACGCTCTTTCCAGTAGTGCACAGCTTGTATGGCTAAGCATCAATATGATAGGACTTTGATGCATAGGTATCCTAGAATTACAAGAGAAATTGGAATTTCTTTTCATTAATTCTCGTGACGTTTCGTTGTGGAGCATAAGTTAGGGATGCATTATTGCGCATCTAATTCAGACTTCGCAATCTCGTCCAATAGTAGCCTATTTCGGTGCCTAAATATGAATCTCAGGCGGCTGTGATACAAAAGAGACTTCGAAGCATAGTGAAAGATGATAAGCCTGAGAACCAATTATCTGGACTATTCGTCGAACTGAATAAGCCACTGACAGATCACACAGGATTCGATAGTCCTACGAAGACTGCATCGAATGTTGTATCATTCGTCAGTGGCTTATGTAGTTAAACGAATCGTCAGGAGAGTTAGTGCAAAGAAAATCCAATTTTTCTTGTACTTCCAACGTTTGTATAGGGGAACGTCCTATCCAATTAATGGGTACACATGCAAGCTATACCCTAGAGGATCAACCGTGAAATTCTGCATGCAACAGTGTATGCTTTGTCAGCTGTTTAAGTACCAAAACGAATCGTGAGAGAAATTAATAGGTAGAAATTTCAACTTTTCGTAGTTTCACAAGATTTTTAGGATCGAAACCCTATATGACTGATGGTGAGCCATGCAAGTTATGCACTATTCGATAGAGTTTGATATTCCGCAGCGATTGGTATGTGTTTCGTCATGGCTTAAGTACCTGAACGACACAGTGGGGAGCTTTAGCATAAGCTGGCGGACATGACAGAAAAATCTAGTGTTTTCGTGAAACTATATTTCTATTCACTATTTGACAATTCCTTTCCGGTGAAATGTTTAAAAAATCTTAACCTCATTTTATCCTTGTTTTGCAAAAATTCATCAGGGTTTTTAGAAATTTTCTGAGAATTAGACATTGAATCGGCTTCAGATCAGTTTCATCTGTCAATTATAAACAACAACAACGAATAGCGATAATTATTAAGACTTTCCGTCATGAATTCCAAGAAAGAAAACATAAAATAAGGATTTTTTTTGTTCTTTTTTGTTTCAATATACATATTTTTTAAATTTTTTGTTTTTATGAGTTTTTTTGGGGTTTCTTAAAAGTTTGATATATTTCTTTCGTCATAGTTCCACCATAATAGTAGGATATGTTTTTCCAATACTCTCTAAAAAACCAATTAGTAAAATACAAGAAAAAATATGGGTTCAACTGCTAAAAAACAAAATTAAAATAATTCTATTTACATAAAAATACATCGTTCAATAATTTATCATCTTCATTTTCTGGTTTTATTAGTATTTCTGATACACGTGTTTGACGCTTTGAAAACGAATCTTTGATGACTTTACGTATTAATGGATCCGAACGAATAAATAGACGATTGAAAACATCGGTTAAATTCATTATATGTCCACATTTTCTTGATAAAAATTCACGATAATTTCTCACATCTTTGTTACAACTTTCGAGAGCTTCATCTGAAAGTTCGCCTAAAGCAACACCGTTATTCCGTTCTATCAATTCAGTTGAATGAAAGATAAGATTATGAACAGTCATAGAATAGTCAATCCATTTTTGATTAGCTATTATTATTTGAAATCCTAATGTTAATTCTTTAAATTTTGATACATTTATTGATCGTGTTGATGAGACAGCTCTAAGTACAATGGAATAACGTTGAATCAGTTGCTTAAGTGTTTCTTGATGTTGTAAAGGAACACATGTCAATAATAGATGACGAATTTCGTATGAGAAAAATTTTCTACCCTGTGCACCAGTAGTACTGGTACCTCCAGCTATTCGTGAGCCTGAATTACATTGATCCAGTCTGAGTCCAGTTTTGTTTTCAATTTCTTTTAAGATTGATATTTTTGCTTGTTCAATATTTTTTTGATGTTCTTTATTTCGAACTATTCATGTTAAAATACCAGCTTTCATATGGTACATAATTTTGAGAATCCAGCTAGTTCCATTAATGTATTGGTGTGTAATTGTAATGAAATGATGATCACTTATGGATAATGGTTTAGATGTAAGACCAGCACGAGTTTCATAATCGTTTTTATTCTTGAAAATTTTTCCATCATCATCGACAAGTTGATTATATAGTTCAAGGGTTTTTATCGCTGTGCGATTGATATTGAAATAATTCGGATAGGAAATTTTTTGCAGATCTTTCCAGTCCTTCTGTCTTGAATCATACATTAGACATTCAGCTCTTCCCAAACCAGACTCTGACATACGAACTTTCAAATCTTTCATGCTGCTTTCCGTTTTCACTTGAACAGTATATACGACATTTTTATATTCAAATTTCAGACCATTTTCTTCTAAATGTTTTTCTACTGGTTCGAATGTTTGATTGACAAAACGCAGTAAATCTTGAGTTTCTTTTTCGGCGATCAGTAGTAATGGTCGTGCATGAAATGCACTATTTGGTGATTGGTTTTCCCACAATATTCGACCGGAACCTTTTTCTTTTAATGATAATGGTACAAACATTTTGAAAAAATGTTTGGGTCATTCATCGGATTTCTTGTTGATTTGTATATCGCCATTGACCCTGCACCGTCATGGCCAGTCTTTTCACGATAGCATAATTCATTTGGCACCTGAATCATTTCCAATTGTAAAACATCGATTATTCGTTGGATTGTTAATTGTAATGCTTGTTGACGCTTACTAACCATAATTCCTTCTTCTTCCCGACAGCTTGTAATGGTTGGAATCAAAGTATTGGAATGATCTTGTATTAAGTTTTCATTAGGAATAATAATAAAATCACTGGAAAAACATTTGAAAAAATTCATATCAACTCGACTTAAGTTTAGGTGAGACTTCAAGGCTAATGTTTGATCAGTATCAAGTTTAGATAGGTCTGGTCTATCTATGTCTTTGCCTTCATACAGTTCTTGACCTAATTTAGCTAGATATTTATTATTGTTATAGTTACGTTGATATAAAAAATATCCTGGCACTTGATTAACAGTAATATTGTTAGTAATAGCAAAATTATCTAATTCACTATTTAAATCGGATAAACGTCTTCTTTTTTCACGGAACGATATATCATCAAAAGCACCTTGTCTCTTCTTAATAATGACATGAGTTGGAGTTGATGTTGGTGTAAGTATGGTTGAAGAACCAGTAGTAGTTGCAGTAGATGATGATAATTTCTTTGTTGTTATAAACGTTGAAGATTCGTTGTTCGCATTGACACTTGATTTGTTATCAAAATGTAAAGATGATCGAAAGTCATTTTTTGTAAAAACAATTATGTCATCAAATTGTTGTTGTTTGTTTACTTTACTACATTTTATCCATACATCATAAAATTTTGCTGAATTTCTAGCAGTATAATGATATACTTTTTCCGATATGATTGACTTATTCCGATGAGTAAAAGGAACGTTAAAAAGTCCGCAAATTTTGGTAATCAATAGATCATTATTTCGATTGCATTCAAAATGGTAAATGTTGAAAAATGTATTCAAATTAAGTCGATTCATATTTCTCGTAAATGTAATTCGATAATGTTTGATGTTTTTGAAGTTTTATAAGCTCAATATAGATATTTGTGGGAATCAAACAGGTTACTTATACGGTGTCTATGGCATTAGTATATAATATGGTATATATTTCAATAAACACAGAACAGATGAAATATCTCGTTTATTAATAGAAAAAGATACTGGAATTAACGCAACGAACGTTACAGTTCGAGGAAATGTGGATAATAGTATCATTTGATGTGAAACAGAAGAACAAAAGCGTATTCTGGGAAGAATATTAAATAGTATGAAAAGCTTAGGAAGGTACCAGATGTTTATAATGATCACCACAATCAATAAATAAACTGACAAAACTCACCAAACCACTGACTAGTTTCGCGGTATCATGTATTGAAAATAAAAAAGATTTGAGCGACATCTATCGAAAAGTGTTTACCAGTCGCTTTTGGTCAAATTTTCGTCAAAATTGACTTTCACGAAAATGACTCTTTTTATATATAGTCCGATGCAGCTCGACGAGCTGATTCCGGATATCACCTTAGTTTTTTTTTCCAAAGTGTAATATGGATGCCTAAAACCGGATTTCCGACCAAAAACCGTGGCTTTTGGAAAATCTCCAGAATAGCCTAGAAACAATTTCACGAGTTCACGCTACTACCATCATTAGAGTACATATGTAGGAGTGTCTGGTAAAAATTTCAGCTCGATTAGACGTTACGTCTTTGTAGGGTTTACAATGTACGGAATGGTAGGTTTTCAGGTAGGGTTTCGGCCTAGAGACTCTTTGTTTTCTACTCTATTTTAAATTGGATTACGATCATTTTTTTTCTAACATAAATCCCGCAGATAAGCAAGTTTTTTATGATATTGTTTGCTTTTGGAATATTGTGTTATATTGCCGAGCGGCTTGACTTTCTTTATTTATGCCGATTTCTGGGCCAAAGCCTTGCCAAGCTCTTATCTAGGGCTCTATAAAACTTTGAGAACCACTATTTTAAAAAATGATAGATCACATATGCATGTATCTACGCAAACGATTAGATTCTAGAAAAGAATATTTTCGCATATGTCCGCCTGGCTCCCCACTGTGACCTAGGTCTCATTCATTTATTAATTAATTATGTTTTTAATTAAATAGTGATGAGAAAATAGTTGTGGCACACAGAATTAACTAGGGAAGACAATTTAAAAAAGAAAAATATTTCATCTGAGCATTCTTTATAAATGATGTGAATCATTATTCGTTATATGCATATCTAAAAAAAGAAATATTAATTTCAACTACGGTTTTTCTTACTTTGATAATGTTTGGTACCAAATCATATAACCAAACAAAAGAAACAGATGATAAATTAAAATATTTTTTTTTCAGATTTTGTAAATGATTAGAATAAAACATAAAATATTTGCTTTTTTCTTCTTAGAATAAAAATATCCATCTTATTAGTAATCATATACTAGTATATTCAGATGAAATAAATAATCAATAAATTCTGTTCTGTTTTATATTCATTAATAGAACAAGATAATCAATCATAGATTTATTAGTAATAATTTCAAAGAATGATGAACAATTATTACTTTCGATAGAAATATGTAAAACTCGACGCTACTATGGGTAAGAAACATATTTTGTCGTTAGCAAGGATTGCACATTAGTATGTTTTTATGCTCTTTTTTGTGTAGTTTTCATTATCCTATTGGATACTTATCATTATGAAATTAGAAGCGGGTGTACGATAGAAGATATTCAAATATGGAATCTAAGATTTTCTCCAGTCGAGTTTTCATTGTTAAATTTTATCCGATAAATAAAACTTAAACTTATTACGGATAAATTTCGTATTTATTTATTTTATCTAAATGACGAACTAAAATTCTTCAATCTAATCTTTCAGATGATCTTCACGTGAATTCAATTTTACATATTTAAAGATATAAACATCTGTACATTGTTCAATCATATCTAATGAAGACAGCTCATAGTTATTGTATTCAGCTTAATGAACCAAAATCATCTGATTCAAAAAAATATGAAGTACAGCTTAAGATTATGTGGTAAATATATTCAATTAAAAAAATGTATCTCGTTAAGCCATTTGAAGTTCACATTGAAGTTCCTTGTTAGAAAGTTTTCAGAAATAAAATTATCAAAATTGACTAAGTTAACAAACAACTCAATGAAAATAAATCTGAAGAAAAACAATATAATAAATATAATGTCAGCAGATTATTTTCATAATTGATTTCTTCATGATATCATATGTTAAATTGAGAACATAACTATGAAATTGTTTGTTATTCTGTTCTCAAAACCTAAAGATTTCACAGAATCTAAGACAATCAGAGAGTTCGAACAACTTCAGAAATGAAGCAGTTCTAAGAACTTAAGGTTTAATTGAAATTTAGGCAACAGATCAAGCCTAGCGTTTCACACAAAATTAAATTCGTCATTTCTGTGAATATTTAAATATAGGAATCTCTGTGGGTCTCAAGAGAGCCAAAGACCATAACCTTATTCGGACATCGTTTCTTCTTTTTCGAGATTTAAATCTCTCAAAAAATAAACGAATTTTTTTACTACGAATAACATGATGCTGAACTTAAAAAACGAAAACGTACACACATATTGCTTAGTCGATATTTTACTATTCTTATGATCCTTAACGATATCTATTGTTTACTGAACTCGATTCATTTTTTTTACTAGCCAACACTGTTATCATAGCCATAACTTATATCGTATTCCTTTGTTCAATTTACATTTAACAAATAACCACAGTTGCCTGTCGTTCTCTTGTGTGTGTACTTTACTTGTCAATTAAGCTAAGAAACTATCTTGTTTTTTGCTTAGTTTAATTGAATCAAATTTATGATAGATATTTCTGTTTCTCATTTGAGACTTTATATCTTTTTCTTTTGTGTTTTCCTTTTGAAACAAGAATTTTTTTAAAGTAAAAGATGGAACTAATGGTAACCTCGTCTTTGCTTCTCTTCAACGAATTATTAGTTATAACACTTTAAAGTACAATATTATCTAGACCAAAGTACCAACAGATACTTTGCAAATCGAAATAAAATACTAGTTTGCATTCTATTCTAGATTTTTGTTAAAAACACTGCATACAAGCACATTTGATATGGCAACTGCAAAACCTCTTTGTGGTGAAGTATAATTGTTTCAAAATCATTAAAAAAAAGAATATTTCCACGCTTAATTTAGGGTACATCGACTGATATATTATCAAATGACTACCAACTTGCAGCATGGAAAGATTTAACAAAAAATATTAATAATCAAGTTAACAAAGTGGCAAATTCAGGGTGTGGGGTGTGGGTGTGGGTGTGGGTGTGGGTGGGTGTGGTGGATGTGGCGTGTGGGTGTGGGTGTGGGCGTGGCTGTTAAACTAACAAATATATTCCCACCCCACACCCACACCCACACCCACACACCCACACACCCACACCCACCCACACCCACACCCACACCCACATCCACACACCCACACCCACCCACACCCAC